GTTGTCACCCTGAGGACTAAGATGGAATGCCTTGTTTCCAGTAGAAAGGGTCTCCGGTTCTTTACACTCACCATACGAAACATAGCATTGTTAAGCTACAATTTTACTCTGGTATTCTGTGAGAGCGTGGTCCTACCCCGGTCTTATTTCGTATAGTGACTGTAGAGAACCCGAGACTCTATTAACTGGACAACGCATCAGCATTTTCATTCATAATCGCGGATAGATATAGATGTCTATGGGCCACAGCAATCTCTTGCCATCAGGTGAACTGTGTGCTCACTCGTCACCCTTATCCTATAAAAAAATCAATCAATACACAAACATACGAAATAATATTAAAATACTACAAATAAGCCATCTATACATTGTGTTAAAAATCCTCAAAGCATAGCGACTTTACGGCGCCAACTAAATGCGACAGGCGTCTCTGTCTCCTTTGAATACATGTGATTGTGACGTCTGATATATTCAGGATGTTAGCCTAATATACAATAAGAGATAGATATATATATATATATATATTGTGATGATATTCACAAACCTATTACCTACATATAACCTGATATTGTATGACAGAGATTACCACCAGGCGTCCAACTTCAAGAAACCTTATTTAAACCTTATATTACATCAAGTAATTAAAAACATTAATAAATTACCACAACATGTATTCTTTGTGGAAGAACATAAGGGTGACGTCAAACTGATACACAATCCAAATTATAGCCGCTTCAAAGCTGTTTCTAAAATAAATTTTGTAAATAGTTTGCTTCTGGTTCTCTTGCTGGTTCTTCCCAGGACAGAGAGTGGTAAAGTAAAAAAATACTTTCAATAAAAATTACTTGCGATCTATATTGAATAAAAAAATATTCTATTCTATTCTAAAGTGAGTTAATCATATCCCGCACAGATCAAAAACCTATTACACCTTTACTGTGCTCAATTAAGAATCAAAAGGATCTCTTGTCTCGTTACTCACTATGGAAAATACAGCAGCATTATGCTGCTATTTCACGCTGGTATTCTGTGCTAGTGTGGTCCTGCCCCGGTCGAACCGAACCATTTCTGCTGAATACACTTTAGCATGGCTCTATCCCGAAACTTATATCATGATTTAAATTATTTCGATTTATAAAACGATATATCGAACAGCCACCTTATTGCCAGTCATTGTGCCATTGACTACGCAAATTAATGAAGATTAAATTAATGATTGCTAACAAAGCACGCGGTAAATAGAGATTAACATTTACAGAGGCGCTGGCGGCAATAGAACTAGGATTACTCACATAATATAGTATAACTAGCACATCACATAATATACTAGCACCCAACCTTTAGCTACCACCATTCTAAAACAAAATACCATCACAAATAAGTTATTTTGACATACAGCATAACCTCAATTATTTTTCTATTATACTATATTGTCTTCAGGCAGATAGCACGACGGAATCCAATAAGGATTTGCGGCGAGACTATTCTGACCCCATTTCTATTTGAAATGCAATAAAACATCAGATCATATAAATTTTATCTGATCTTGTAATGAAATTATTATATGTACCTACTAATAAATAATATGCTCCCATGTCAGTTTGGGTCTTACAGGTCCCATGTTTAAAAGTTTCGGCCTATAACGTCCCACAGTTGGGCAGACACCTCACTTTTCTAAGTTTTTAGGGCAAGGAATTGTTCGCCTCGCTGCCCCAATGCATATTAGCGGACATCACTTGTTTTCGAAATATTTTTTTAATTGGTCAACATGCCGTTTTCCTCACGATGTTTTCCTTCGCCGTAAAACACGTGGTAAATCAGCACCATCATCAACATCATCATTACAGCCCTTCACAAGTCCACAGCTGAACATAGGCATCCCAAGGAATGCTACATGTCTCGGGACCGTGCTTAGTCGCATCCATTAACTTCCTGCACGTCTTACCAGGTCGTCACTCCATCTAGTGGGGGGTCGGTCTAATAATTACAAAAAATACATGACCTTTGCCTTAAGGAAGTCGAATGTACCTACTTCTGACTCTATCTTTGCTCACTACTGCCACTCTCTAAATAACACCTCTTGCTTGTGCCCTACGCTGGAAAGAATTGAATCCATTAAATACCTAGGAGTCATTGTTGATTCTACTCTCACTTTTTATTTGCACATCAATTCCCTGGTATCTAGACTGAGAAAACTTATTTATATTTTTAAATCCCTCCAACACCTAGCTGATCATTCTATTATAAGTAGCCCTAAGTCAACCTATAATCAGCTATTGCATCACAGTATAGCGTTGCAGCCAAAGCTCACCTGGTTGAAGGTTAGGAAGCTCAAAAAGCAATCCTTAAAACTGCATCGAATCTCCCTTATAGATATGCTATGACAATACTGTACTGCATCCTCCCCGTTGTGCAAATATTTATAATAAAAATAATAACCAGAAAATATTCCCAATTGAATTATGATCCCAATATCAGCACTACCAAAAGGAGAAAGGACAATCTGTCCTACAATGGTTAAATCCAGCTTGGCTAAGAGACACTAGATCTATCTTGGTAATTACATCTACAACCAACCAACTTGATTCATGTTGGTCCAACTTGAGAGATAGGATAGTTTTTTGCCTATGAGTGAATCACAATTTTTTGTGCGAATTAAAGGATTTTTTATAGGACATGAAAAAGGGTCGTCGAAAAATGCAGAACAATGTTTGCCTGGCAAGCTAGTATAATTATAATATTTATATGTACTTTAATCTAAACTATGTATCTACATCATTATATAAATGGGTGTTTCTCATTTTTCGTGCACATTACACGTCCAGGAGAAAAGTATTCATTTTTTTTATTAAATATCTACATTTCTTACAAAGGAAATCAAATGTAAAAAGGTTATGATTACATGTGTGTAATATTAACGGATAAAATTAACGTAATAACATAATGGTAAATAAAAAACTTCAATAATTCTCATTATCTTCGGTGTCCATTTACTACTCTCCTAAAAAAATTGTATTATTAACCAAAAATATAAACATTAAATATAAAAAATAACCATATTCTGAAACTTTATTAAAAATCACAACGTTTACGCTTAAAATAAATAACGATAACCCCACAATATAAAGAAATTTTATTTCATAAATGTTTATCAAAAAATTTTTCTGATTACCTTCGGTTTTAGTGACAATCTAAATTATAGTCCGCGTATTGGCGTGAATGTCACTAATCTCATTCTAACTAACTAATCTAACTGACTAATCGCATTCCGGACTCTTGGCGTCAAAGCTATCTACTACCGTTCTATAAAAATAAGGGCAATGTAACGCAGTGTGAAAATTATAGAGGTAATAAATTGACCTCACATACACTTAAAATATGGGAACGAATTATTAATAAACGGCTCACTGACATTGCTGAAATATCTCCAAATCAGTTTGGTTTTACAGCATCCAGATCAACTATTGATGCCATCCAAACGATTAGAATACTGATGGAAAAACATAAAATAAACAATAAAGACCTACACCTAGCATTCATAGACCTAGAAAAAGCCTTTGATCGAGTTCCACGTAGGCTGGTATGGCAGGCACTTCGTGCCCAAAGGGTGCCAGAGTATTATATCGAACTTATAAAAGATATGTACTACAAGGCTAACACGAGAGTCAGAAGCCCAACCGGCGTGAGTAAAGCTTTTGAAGTCAAAGTGGGTGTCCATCAGGGATCTGCTCTAAGTCCCCTCCTATTCAATCTAGTGATGGACTACCTCACTAAGGATATACCTGCCCCATTGCCATGGACTATTCTATACGCGGATGACATTGTCTTAGCTGCTGATACTGCAAGCCATTTGCAGGAAACTCTTAATATGTGGACACAGGCTCTTGAAAAGTACGGCCTGAGGGTGAGTAGGAGTAAAACTGAGTATTTGAAATGCCCTTTCAGTGGAAACACGGTATCTGAAACTATCTGTATTGGGACAACACCTATTCCTACAGAAGATAAATTTAAATACTTGGGCTATATGCTTACCACAGATGCAAATGTTGACACAGACGTGGCCCATAGAATAAGTGCCGCGTGGCTGAAATGGTGATCACTTACAGGGGTATTGTGTGATCCACATATTCCTATAAAAACTAAGGGCAAAGTATATAAAACCGCAGTACGTCCCGTGTTATTGTATGGTTCTGAATGTTGGACAACAAAAAAGACGCATGAGCAAAAGGCCCATACTAACGAAATGAACATGCTTAGGTGGGCGGGAGGTGTGACTTGGCTTGACAAAGTCCGTAATGAACATATACGTGGTAGCTTTAAAGTCGCACCTATTACAGATAAAATCATTGAAAATCGCCTAAGATGGTATGGACATATTAAAAGACGCAGCGAAGATCATGCAGTTCAAATAGCTCTAAGCTTGCCAGAAACAAAGAGAAGCAGAGGACGCCCGCCAATGACATGGTGGTCTAATATCGCAAGAGACCTAAGGAAAGCCCAGTTGCCGGATGTGAAAGCCAGACAAACATTAGAGCAGAAATGAGAGTGAGATCGATTACAAAAACAAAGAAAGTATGCAGAAATTAAGGAAGATCCTGAAAAGTATACAGATCTGAAGGCAAAAGAAAGAGCAAGATACCTTAAAAGAAAAGAACAGAAAAAAAAGTAGCGCAAAAGATATGACACCTAGACAATTGAGAGTTCAGAGGAAGAAGTGAAGAGTTAATTCAAAACGTCATTATGAAAGAAAAAAGAAAGAAAAAGCTATTCAACAGTTGTTAATAGATAATTCTCCACCAAATAGTGACAATGAAGTACATCCAGCTGATCAAGATCCTCTCACTCAATCAGCTCTAAGCCTCATACCTAATTCATATGTAAATCTCTGGATTACGGTAATAGTAATTCTTGTCAAGGGTGCCTAAAGAAAATATTCTTCAGAGAAAGATTCGCTACCTACATAAAAAAGAAATAGGCATTTTGAAACAAAAAATAGAAAAATGAAGAAAGAGAAAGATGGCATTAGAAAAAAGTTGTATAGAATAATGAAAAATAAGAAAAAAAATGAAAATATATCGACTGAAGAAAAAGTAGAACAATTAGTAGAAAATGTTAATACACGTGAAGAAATTAAAGAGCGACTAATGTTTGGTGAAATACTTTCAAGAAGTGTTGGAGAAGGGTACAAGTGCTTGAGGAAAAAGGATAAGAAAGAATTCTCTAATGTGGTTATGACGGAAAAATAAAAGTTTAAAAAATATAAACTCTTGACACAAACAAAAATATTTACAGTAAGAGATAAGAAGAAAGTAAGACAGCTAAAAATGAAAACTTGAAAGAGCAACTAATTTTGGAGTTTTTTGACGATGAGGAGATGACTAGAATTGCAGCTGATAAAAAAGAATATATAACTAAAAGCCAAATAAGGAAGCAGAAAAGATACTTAATGGACACATTGACTAATTTGTACAAAAAATTTACACATAATTCGAATGTCAAAGTAATGTATCAAAGATTTTGTAAATATCTCCCATTTTGGGTTTTATACCAAAAGGAGTCCAGTAGAAATATGTGTGCTTGCAAAGTTCATATTAATGTCGATTTGTCGATAAAATGTCTTAATATAAATAAAATATTAAAACAATCTAACAGGATGGGTGTTTTAGAAAGCTTATGTCTACATCTATGATGAAAATCCCTCATCATCCCTATCCTTTAACTTAACTTCTCAATATCATTACCCTCCTTGACGTTCTCATTACCGTTTCATTACGATTTTTGATATGATAGTAATTTTATTGTTATCTATACAAGGAAGGTAGAAACCACAAAAAGAAAAAGATGAAGTTATTGGGCAATAAATTTGACATTCACAAATGTCGTGGAATTTGCACGAAATACGCGAAACACCCAAATCAGCTTTGTTATATTAATCCTTCATTTTACTAAATATTGATTTTCTCATAATTAATAATGAAAGTAATGATTTCTTCAATATACTACACAAATATGTAATATAAAGATGTATAATCCATAAGGTGGGACCTGGTGACCGGGTATTGTTGAATACCTTTATTATGCACCAGTCTCTCATAAACTAGGGTTCAATATGTTTATAGTTCAACATGTTTGTCATCAATAATTCTCTAACTATTTCCGATGAGAAAATAAATAAATTATAAATTCTATTCTATTCTATTTTTGTTTAAAGGAAAATGCTCTTATTTTAAAGATATTCTGGAAAAAAGATATATTGATAAAAATAATTCTGGAAAAAGGATTTATTTCAAGAATTATCTTTAAAATAATCAGTCTTAGAATTATAAATGTAATATATTTATATATGTAAATTTTCTGATCTAGTCTATAAATTAATTTCAGTTTTCTTGGTAGTACAGAGACTAAACTCGAGTTCTACACATAACATTGCACTACATTACATTGTATGGACTATTTGTATCTAGCCTACAAACAACTTTCCCAAGTTTGATTGTTTTTTACCTTATGTATGTTAAGTGCTCACACAATATGGGATAAATTACTATTAGGGGGTGGGGGGGGACATTTAATAAGAGAAAGTGTAATCAATATGAAGATATACCAGCAACCGGAGTCGCAGTTTCAGTTTCCCTATGCTGCCTCTTACAACACCAATTGGAATGTAATTCCTGGATTAGAAACCAAAGCCTTTATTAGTCTGTATATAATATATCCCACGCTGTAACACTGAATAAAACAGATAAGTAAATAAGAACTTATTATCACATAAATGTTAGACATGCTGCATGTATGCATGCTTACAACAGCATACAAGATGTGAATATTATAGAGGATATTTTATATAATTATTAAATAATCCTAAACACAGAATATTTAATAGTATTAGGTACATTATACTTAAGTGTAAGGCATTTTTTAATGTTTGTTTTATCTTGTTCTGTTATTAAACTATGACTATGATTTTATTTTTAACACCTTGACATGTTCTAGTGCCACGCTGTAGAACTATTGGGGAGAAAAGGTGAGGAAGTGTAATGATGATGACAATGGTGATACTTATTATGTTGTTCGGTTCACGAAATAATCGATATCGATCGATTGAAGAATAAACTCTGAACAGACATAGCTTAATTAACAATAAACAAATGACAAACCATCTCTTCGATTGTACAGTAGAGCCGTTCGATTATCAATTACTTCTTCAGACATTTCACAACTGATCACAGGCCAAAATTTTGATATAATTAAAAAAACTACAATCACCTCAATGTCGACACAGTTAACATAAACACTGACAGTAAAAAAAAATTGCCGGTTTTCAAAACCGTCTTCAATCAATTAACAGCATAGATTACTGTGTATATTAACAGGTATTAACAGCAGCGTGAAGCAATAAAAATCGGCATAAACAAGCATGGAATCAATTTATAAATGACCGCGAGGACGCGAGGAGAATACCTAGTATAGCTAAATAGTATAGTAGTAGTAGTGAATGTGTAGTGAATTGATTCGTCTGACCATACACGCACATGAAATTAAATTAAACTGTAAGTACTATTAAATCAAATCACTGACAAGTATAAAAAAATAAAATACACAAATAAAATATACAAATACCTTTTAAACTGTGTAGGTTGATAAAGAATTTGAAAACGGCATTTAAAATTATTTAAGTTTCACTGCACTTTGTACTTGGGCAACTTAATAAATACTTGACTAACTTGTTAAACATATTACGATTTAAGTCTCATTCTTTGAGCTACACTACGACACAAACTGCAATGGAGAACTGGAGAAATGAATTAATTAATCGACCTGAAGATTGAAGAAAAACTCTGATCTTTTATCTATGAATAAGATTCAAATAGTCAGAAGTCCGAAAAGTACCTACTTTCACTACTACAGAATCAGGATTCTGGATAGCGTTCTGTGTCTGTGCATGATCAGATAGGAAGCTGGAATTAATACTTTGTCATTGTAATGAAAAAAGGTTTTATAGTAATTAATGCTTATCACCTTGATAAGCCCTTATTCTTATTTCACTGATAACGCTTGCAGTTTTAATTTATTTGAACAATCAGCATAAATAACAGTATTGCATGTTATTATCGAAAGTATTTAATAATATTATTCTGAAAATTCTAATATATTTAGTGATCCCGACGAAAAATAAAAATGTGTGTGTGTGCAGTTCAAACATGGTAGAAGTGAAACCTCAAAGAGTAACTGATAACTGATAAGATAGGTGAACTGAAATCGTATACAAAATTATGACTCTTTCATATTATGTATCTATTCTATTCATGTGCCTTCAGAAAAGGAGACCGAGATAATAGGAAACACTGTACTCTGTATTCCATATTCTCATTTTCTAAATCCTATAGATGTATGTTTGTCTCTTTTTAGTGACGCTTTTTCGTTTTATCGAGTTTCAAATCACAACCATTATAAAGAATTTTTCACTTAAAATAATGAACAGAAACATAAATTATTAAGGTGGGTCTACGCTAGAGAAGCCAAGCACGAGCTGAGCACAAGCTGAGCCACTCTACTCGTGGTGTCAAGTGTGGACGTACAACGAGCCTACAACAATCACTCTCCTCGAACGTAGTTTTCCACAGTATAATCGCGGCTCGTGGCTAATATGGACGAGTTTGATATTGCACTAACCGTAGCTGCTGCCTGCCGCAGCGATTATTATTGCCGAAATCAATTAAAAGCTGAGGGCCAAGACGATGGGGTCCTACAAATTTATATAAAGGCAGATCCTGTCAACAAATTCTAGATTTATTAACCACTGAGAGGTCAAGAAGCAACTGGCCAATTTAAGAATGTCGTTCGAAAGACATCAACAAACTTTGAAAATTTACTAAACTAAGGCCAACTAGCAGCGATACGAAAAGTCATTTACCTTAAAAACGACTGAGGAGTTGACAGTCTAATATCTATCTCTTTCTATCTTGTGTATTTGTCCTAATGTCTCGTTTTCCGGCAAAAACATATCAGGGTCAAGATGGGTTCGCTAACATTCGGAACGCGCTCCTGGTGATACAAGTTATTTGTTAAAATTGTTATGTTTTGTTGTTAATTTTATTGTTGTTATTTTGTTTTGTTGATAATTGTTTTTTATTAAGAGAGTCTTCGTCGAGAGATATATCAACAGATTTTACTTCTCCGAAAAAGAAACGTCGAAAGGTTTGTACAGAAATAGGATATATTATATGAATGTTGTTGAGTATTTTTAATTAAAACTTCTTGGTTCGAAATGTACTTTAAAGTTTTCTTAAAGTTATTTTAAAAGCAGGAACTGTATTAATAAAACTTTTCTTAATTTATTAAAGATGCATGTAAGTAAAGTATGTATATCATTTTAATTTAATTTTTAATTTTAGGTGTCTAGTTTTATTGTGAATGAAAAAAAATATGATTGTTAATACCTTCAAATATGTTAAAGAAACTTGGCCTAATGATAAATACCTATACAGAAAAGAGATGGCGCAGAAAGCAGCTAGTATTTTAAGTATCGGTGTTGCATCTGTATATAGACTCCTCAAGGACTATAAAGAACGCGGCGAATTTTCTTCTCCTGTCACTACCAAACCTAGACCAACGTTTAGTGACAAATAAACGTGTTTCAGACTCTGATTCTGACTCTACAGACTCAGAAGAATCGGCATCTGACTGAATAAACAATGATTTCCTCAAAAATTATATTTTATCCTCATTTCTATAAACATAACATAACATATCATCAGTCATGTATCCCTTAAGGGGTAGGCAGTGATATTAACACCCACATTTTGCCTGATATATTTAAGTCCCTATGTAACAGGGGGCAAATCTGTTACCATACACCGGGTACACAGTTGTTAGACAAGCGATATTCAGAGACATTATAATAATTAGTTTCATTATTCAATTTAAATCTACATTATACAATAATTCAAATTATAACAAAATTTATAAAAGTCTATTTTTTGGTTTGCTAGACATTTTTTAAAACTATAATGTCTATTTAAATATATAATCTTATTATCAAAAAGTTACGCACCCCTGTTATTCCTAATAAGCTTGCATTGGTTTTATTTACATTGCAAAACAAAATACCAAATTTCAAATGGCTATATCCATTCAAAAAAGGCCGGCGGTGACGCTGCGTCGTTGGCAAGTGGTGAATCGTTCACCAGTATACAATATACGGGGGTGACATTGAAAGTTCTTAGAAAATCAAAAACTGAACAAAATA